CACACCTTCGCTGGACGCCTACGGACCTCAGGGTAGGCCACCCGCCCAGGACGTCTGCGACCCATTGCCTACCACCCAGGCGCTTTCTCCTTCGTCTCCGGAGCAAAAGCTCCCCTATGATCTCTAAAACGGAACTGTGACGAAACGCGCAAGGAAAAATGAAGCTTGCAGAATGCAGAGTCTATGAAAGTGCAACTATGACCCGAAAGAGGCGGTGCTCTCTGTCACTCTTGACCACCCTCATATACTCTGATTACTCATCTCGCACAATTCCATCTCGCCTGTGGTCCCTCGTGGGGAGAGGGTCGCTGCGCCATCATCCTGGTGCCTGGTACCCTCTATCCGTGATGCAACGAGCGTGCGCCACGCCACGCCACGGTAAGAATAATGTTTGCACCGCTGAGGCAGCAGATAATTAAACGTCCCGCCTTCCTTTCACGACGACGACGACGACGTGCCAGCGGCGCCCCGCGCCGGCCGAGCGACGCAGCGACGCGCTGCTCACTCCACGCTCACTCCACGCGCTACTCAACCTACTCGACGCGGTCGGAGACGGCGGACACGCCCATAACCTCGCCCCACACCCCGTCCTTCGATGAAGGTGGCGACGGGAGGGGACTGAACTGCATCAACAAAAGTTATGGCGAGGCGGTGCCCGGCCTAAACCCATCACTGTCTGATGGTTTTCTTCAACTCGCCGCCGCGGGAGATATCCTCGGACGCAGAGTAAGCTTCTCTTCAGCCCCCCACCCCCACCCCCACCCCCTTTTTCCCCGACGCGTGACAACGACAACGCTGGGGTCGTTCACTTTCTATGCGATTCGTTGCGTTGTCGGATACTGACTAAGATGCCCTAGTCATTCTTGCAGAATGGAAATTAAGAAGAATGTGTTTTTGCGACAATGTCAATAGGTATCAGGCAGGTGGCGTGTGCTTGCTTATCTTGGCGAAGTATAACAGGAGGACGCGCCCAGAAAACGCGCCCCCCGCCCTCCGCTTTGAGTCAACACAAG